TAATTATTTTTTATTTATTTAAAATTTATAATATTAAATTTATTTATTTATTTAATAATACATAAAAATTAGATAAAAAATTGGCTAAATTTAATTTTTTTATCTACTAACTATTATTCTTTTTTCATTTTTATTTAGAAAGTTTAGTTTTTTTCAAATTCATTTATAAACTTTGAAAATCATATTAAATTCATCTATAAATTTCTGTTAGTTCTTTTAATGGAATCCCATGTCAATGCTTATGTGGCACTCGTCAGCACTTACATGGCATATACAATTTTGAAAAATTATACTTTAACCCCAAAAACTTCACAAAATTTTTAATTAAGTTTTATATTCAAGTCACTCCATAATCCAATTTAGTCAACTAAGTCCTTAAATGGACTAAATATAATTAATCAAAACTAATGATAAATAATTAAGATTGTAAACTTAATTTCTTAATTAATTAAGATTATAATATTATTTTGATCAATTTAAAATTAAAAAAAAATCTTTTATATGTAAAAATTTTAAAAACATATTCTCTTTATCCTAAAATAATCAACATTTTTGAATTTATCTTTAAATTAAGGATTTAGAAACAATTTCTATTATTTTATATTTTATCCTTAAAAATGAAATAAAAATAAAGAACCTTTTTCATGATAAGCAAGATAATTAAAATTAAGACATAATCATAAAGTTAAAGTAACAAAAAATATTTGTCTCCTTTAAAATATGAAAAAAATACTATATTTTAAGACAAATTCTAAATAAAGAAATATTGATTATTTTTGGATGGAAGGAGTACATTCTAACTTTGCTCCATCTGTCTCAAGATAATTGTTGTTTTATGATTTCAAATTTTTCTTAAATTAGTTATCATTTTTTTTTATTTTTCAAGATATATATTTTTTACTTTAAGTTTATTATTATCTATTTATTTTAATTAATTATCATATCATAAAAAATCTTTCTTTATCTTTTATTTTTTTAAGGTAATATAGGTAAACATAAATTATCCTTAAATTTTTAATTTTAAAAAATGAAAGTTATTTTGAAAAGAGGGAGTATAGATAAAAATTAATTTTTTGAACTAAATAAAAAAAAATAATTTTATCATAATAATAACAATGATAATATTTTTAGTTGTTAATCAAAATTAAAACATATAAATTTATTACAAAATTAAAATTAAAAAAAATAAAGAAAAAATCTCACCGGCACTCGTAACTTTAATTGCATTAATCCAAGTGTACCTAACTATAAGTTTCCGTAAGAGTTTAAATTACAATAGCAGCATCTATTCTCTTTTTTCCCAAATTCTCCCCCGTTCAAAAAAAAATATCTCACTTGAAGAGTGTTCCTAGCATTGCTCTTGTAATTAAATTGTCACTAATGAATTACCTCTTTCATACGACCCAATGAATGAATCACACTACTTTTATCAGTAATAGATGAAACTCATTCAAGTTCAACTCGATGTTCTAAAAACGGATATTAACTACTAACAATTATTTTCCTTGTCAAAGGAAAAAAAAAAAAAATCACTAGTGGACGTAGACTAGAGCTGTACAAAGACCCGAAGTGGCGTTCAAAAGACTGGAAAGCTGTCGTCAGTACGGAAGTCAATTATGGTCCTTTTTTTGTCATTAGTATAACG